CCGCTGAATGCAGTTTATTAATTCTTGTGTTATAGTTACTGTAGCCTGACTGTAGTTAAGCTGTCTCCCCAAGCCGTGTTTAAGGTTTTACTCTTCAATGATCACTTTTCCAGGAAGTTAAGCGCCAAATCGAGAAATTTGTGCTAGTAAAGAGGAAATAATGAGATTCAACGCGTCCGCGATGAGTCATTAAACTATGATTCGATTGCTAACCCGTATTGCTTTTCTTTCTCATATTAGTTGGATGCTCGAACGTTTTCTACCAGCTGGCACAGTGGTTGAAGCTCTCCTGCTGTTCTTCCAGAACCTGCACAAGACACACCCTCGCCTATGGGCCAAGTACGCCAACAGGCCCATCGTGGAGTTCATCGAGGACATGAAGACGATGCGCGACGACATCCCCCTCTCCCGCCTCGTCCTTGGCTGGGGCTTCAACAACAACTCGGAGGTGTTCGCACGCGTGCTCCTCGTGCTGGAGCATCGTGAGAAGAGGCGGCCCTAGGCGCACGCGACCTTCGCGCGCTACGTGATGCAGCCGGGCTGCCTGGAGTACCTAGGAGACGTGTACATCGTGTGCTGCCACGACACGCTTCTCCTCTACGCTCCAAGGTGGGGGGAGACGCGTAATCGGGAGATGTTCTGCTTGGTGCTTCTCTCTTCTTATGTATATTTTTCATGTAGTCTGTAGCAGCAACAACACGGAGTTTGTATAAGGTGAGCTTTACAATGGTCGAGATCACTCTGCACAGAACCTGGATAACGCATGGACAACAGATGGTCCAAGCTGAACAATTGCTTCAGACCGAAGATGCATGTTCGTTAAGGAATGTCTTGGTAGTTTTCGACACTTCGACATTTTGTTAAATATGAAGTCACCTTGGTTGTTGTCTTGTTCCAAAGCTCTGGTTCTGCGTCTGCTGTTTTGCTAGCATTGAAAAATACTCTCTTTGATAATGTAGTATGGACCTGCGGTACCATCACATCCCCAAAATTCATCAGTTGTGCTATCCGTATCACGAGGTCTTCTAGCAGACCACCGCGCGCCTGCTGAAGAGGGTGAGTGTCTTCTGCCTTGCACTTTATTTGACTTGTGGCTGGCTCCAAGTTCGTCTTCGATGCTGGAGCCTCAAATCTAGTTTTTCAAGAGCTTCATCGGTTGTTGAATTGAAATTGTTGCACAAAAAGGCCCATTCATTTCGTTAATGTATCGTGTATATGCAGCTCGGCCGGTTTGTAACGATTTCGTTTGTGAGAAGGCTTAGCAAAGCGTTAGTCGAGTGCGTTGCATGTCTTGCTCGCTTGTGAAAGAAAGATTACATTGCAATTCTGCAGTTCGTTTTCAGTGTATACTTAGGTTTCAGTGAGGTTTTCATCCATACTTGTAGGCCCAAGTATTGCTGAAGATTGTGTCCTGTGAAGATCGTGTCTTGCCAAGCCCTCGTTGAATCAGCTTGAAGAAAACGTCTTTCCAATACGTACTTCGTATACGTGACTTTCAGGGGACAGCCGCTACTAGCATCAGCAGTTCTTCGTGCGGGAGGCGGACTTCAAATTGGGCACAAAAGCGGAGAAGAAGGGGATTACAGCTGACAGCGGCGGCAACTGGAACCTCAACTAGAGTGGGAACCCCGGTCGACCCGGAGCCACCTTGGCGAGCTCCACCGTTGGGTGGCACTCGAAGAAGACAGTCCTTAGGATGGCCGCAGAGAACACCGTCATCCCTGCCAGGGAAACTGTCATCAACGGGCAGGTGTTTCTGGCCCCCGCCATCGGCCAGCCGCGGAAGCGCAACGACCACGTTGGGAGCCGCATCGAGCAGCTGTACCGGTCTTCGTCAAACGGCGCGTGGCCTAAGCGTCTCGTCAAGGACCTGACGACGCAGCCGTTCCATGGAGGCTTCGTGGTCAAAGGTCAGGGTTTTGGAAGCTGATATTGGCCTTTCTTTGGACAATAGTGTATTTGGAGTCGTGATTGCAGACATAGACATAAGGCCCTTAAAATTCGCGCGATCTATAGTGAGCGTGGAGCGTCTCCGGCTGGTCCACATGGACGTCTGCGGGCCGGGCCGCTTGGTCGGGGGAAGCCGATACTTCGCCACGTTTCTAGACGACCACAGCAAGCTCTCAGTTGTAGTCCCCTGAAGCAGAAGAGAAAGGTGGCCAAGGTGACCGAGCACGTGATTAATCGGTTGAAATTGCAATCCGGGAAGAAGCTCAGGTCGGTGGGGACGGACCGGGGGAAGGAGTACATCAAAAAGGCCCTCAAAGATGTGTTTGGGGGCAAGGGGACGGTGCACGAGAAGACCGCCCCCTACACGGCAGAGCGGCTCAATTGGGAGTTGTAGGAGAAGGTCCGGGCGATGCTCGAGGATTCGGGGCTGCCCAAAGAGATGTGGGCGGAGGCCGTTGTGACGGCCGACTACACCCGGAACCGGACCCCAGTGAGCGCACACGGGAGGACCTCGTGAGAGGCGTTCTTTGGCAAGACGCCCAACGTTGGGCACACGCCGCATGTTTGGGGCGCGAGCCTACAGGCACTATCTAAAGCAAAGACGTTAGAAGTTGGATCGGGTGAGCGGGCGGTGTGTGTTCGTGGGGTATGAGCCAGACTCCAAGGCGTACAGAGTGCTCCGGGAGAGCGACGGGAGGATCATGATCTCTCCGAACGTCATCTTTGACGAGGGCGAGGGGGACAACGGGATTGTCGAGCTGAGCTCCGATCCAACGGAGGGTTCCCCAGAGGCGGCCGGGAGGAGCAACACCGCGCACGCGCTCGCGCCGGCACACGAGCACGCGCCCGCAACGGGCCGCGGCCGCGTGGCACGCACGATTTCCAACTCCAACCAAAATGGGCAAGTTGCGAAAACGGTGCGAGAGAGCAGAGCAGAGCCGGAAGAGTTTGCGGAGAACTTAGGGATGCCAACACGGGCTGCTCAGAGGTACCCACCGCGTGAGAGACACACGCCGGGGGAGTGGTACTGTGCCAACTTGGCGGCGGACACTGAAGCGGAGGAGCACCTGAAAGGAATGGGGGAGCACCCTGAACCGCAGAGTTTTCAGGAAACCGTAGCGGGAAAAGAGAATGACCTCTGGCGGAAGTCCATGGACGAGGAGATGCGTTCCCAATTGCAGAAAGGGACGTGAAAGACCGTCGATAAACCGGAAGGGGTCAAGCCGATTCCCATGAAGTGGTTTTACAGATCTAGCGGGACGCTCACGGGAATGTGGAGCGGTACAAATCCGGGCGGGTGGCAAAGGGCTACGTGCAGAAGCAAGGGATTGACTTCGACGAGGTGT